TGTATCCCTAGCGCCTCCCTGTGCCTACTGCAGTTATGTCTGTACGCTCTTACATTAGACTACCCATACGCTATATGTACTTCATTGAGAAATGTGTCGGTATAGCTATAGCAGGCCTGTGGCTGCCCGACCGGTAACTAAAAGCTTCGGCCAATTTCTAGTGGCCTTTTTTTTGTCGCGCCTGCACGATGTCCTCTCTGACACTCCACAGGGCCCCTCCATAGAGACCGTGGACAGCGATAGAGATGTGTCGGATGATGCGGTTATGGATGACACGCCGCTGGAATGGGATAAGTGGTAGCATACCGAAATGATCTATTTGACGGTTGATTTCCCGGTAAAATATACCTAATTCATGCGTTAATTGACGCCAAATAGCTCTTTAGCCCGCTCTGGTTAATTAACCGTGAATTACGCAGGGTAAATTAGCCCCCCCAGACCGCGACTGTTAATTTACTCGGTGAAGTAAGGCTCCGACCTATTACCCCTTACACTACTGCGAGTACAGAGCTCGCAGCAGGAAGGCCGCATCCACCTTCACAGGGGCGATTCTTCAGACAGGGCCGCGTCACACACGCAAAGCAGGCGGTCCTGCTGTCCTCCAGCGGGACGCGATCCATACAGGCGTATAAGCTCAGGCAGGGAGAGGGACTGGCACACCAGACTCGCTGCTCCGCTCATGCATGCCGCGAACCTCCACAAAGTGAGACGTCGACAACAGCGCGGGCACGGGAGGATTCACACGCTCTTCCGTCTTGAGGTGCGGGTGTGTCAGCGCGTGGTGAAGCACCGCCCTATCCACGGTTCCGGTGATGTGATCAGCGCGCAGGTGAGGCTTTCGGGCTGGAGCGCGTGGGCCTCGCGGTCATGCGCGGTCGCACAGGGAGCCCCTCTCGGGAGGCACAGGTGGAAGCAGGAAGGGGACGCACGCGGAGAGAAAACAGAAGCGCGAGGAAGGCGAACTTGCACGGACGTGGGGGCGCGAGCACGACATCCAAATGATAGCGCGAAGCTGGTACCGCGGCCCGACTTGAACCTCCCCCGCGCTGTATCATCGGTGCGGGCGTGCCAGCGTGAACCGTTGCGCAAGAGGACCGGGGGTTTCCACAGCTACCTGCTCGTGCGCGCGCCAAACGCGGCGAGGTACAGCTGGTGTACCTTGTTCTCCATATGTGTGAGCCGGAATAGTCCCTCGAGGACTCGGGCCTTGATCCTCCTCCGCTCTGAGGGGCGACTGGCCGATCGCGTAGGGCCTGTTCGAAGATGTAGGACGCCTCAGAACATGCGCACGGGAACGACAGCGAGCGAACAGCGCTCACGCAGTCTCTGAGATCAACCTCCCAAGCAGAGCGTGCCCATAAGTTCCACATCCGCCAGTGACGGGGCCCGCCAGTGTTCACGTTCAACGTCCATGTTCAGAATCCGCCCGCGAGACTCGACTCACCTCCAAGTTGCCCACGCACGCGAGTCGACTCGGACTCGGACTGACATTCACACCACGCTGCGCTGCTATCTCGATCGCCCCCCGCATTCATGCTCGCATGTAATCCATGTCCGTATATATGTACTCCATGTCCATGTCAGCAATGCACTGCAGCATCGCCCCTCAAACCACCCCCGGCTCGCCAGCTCGCTCAAAACGCGCTCATGGCTCTCCAGCGCGCGCTGCCCGTCGTGGACGTGTTGCTCGTACGAGGTGCGTGTACATGTGTGCCCTGTTTTCGCCTCTTCACGGGACCGAGTGGCGTGCAGGTGTTCTATGAGCTGGATATGCGCAAGTCGGATGGGGAGGTGCCGAGGTGCGCCTCGTCCATCCACGGCAGGCACGCGCTCCTTGGCGAGCTGCTGCGCCGGAGATCTGGAGGTAGAAGATAGACGAGGGGGGAGGCGGAGAGGGTCTGCGTGGGGCGGGGAGGAGGCCGTTCGGCGAAGGCGCGGGTTCGTGTTGGTATTCGGGGGGAGTCGCAGGGTTGATACTGCGCCTCGTCGACTCCGGGTCCAGCTTGTCCTCAACCACTGCGCGTTATCCTGAATAAGCCCTTGCACGCCGTCATGGTCTTGCTGCTAACCCCTGTTGGCCCCCCCATCGACCCTCTCGCGTTGACGACGATCCTGGGGCGGCGATTCTCCCTGGTAACCCATACCATCGCCCCTCCTCTCATCTTGGAATGCCCGGCTCGACCTATGCGCACGAAACCCTGCCTTGCGAGGTTGCTGTCGTGGTTTCCGTACTTGCGCACAGTGTACTCTGGTGTTCTGTATCCCGCCCGGTGCACACACTCGCCTGCCCCCACGCCCGCCATGTTTCCTGCTGCGTGACCGCACCGCACTCGTATCTCTATTCTCTATTCCCTGTCTTGCCCTTCGCGTCCTGCCTTGCCTTGCCCTCTGTACAACAATTGCTGGATGACATACTTGTTCACACCTTGTACCCTTATGCATATGCATCAACTGTGTTCATCCTCGGGACAGGCTCGCCGTATGCCTTCTGCGGAGGGTCGTCGCCATGTCGCGTGTAGCAGATGTAGGAGTCCCCTGCGTAGCGTGGTACGTGCGCAAGTCACTCACTTCCTTTACCCTGTTGTCCACTTTCTACCATTTCTCATCAGTGCATCTTTCAGTCTCTCATGGGTGGACGAACCTTGCGAGACGAGAATCACAATCCGATAATCGGGGTCCGTGAGGAATCGCTCTTGCATGGCCGGCGAGAGGCTTGCGTAACCCAAGCGTCGTAGGGGCTGAAGTGGACAGGTGCTTCAACAGGCCGCTCGCATATGATGGCCATGCCGTCCCCGGAGTATGAGCGGAAGTAACTTGTACCCGTTAAATGAAACGCGGGAGCTCTCCGCGCTCAGTGACAGGTGCGGGAGGTACTGTAACCTTTATTTTCAGTAAAATTCTCTCCAGTCTACACCGTCCAGGAAGGCTTCCACAGGAAGACAGTGGGGAACGTCAAGCGCGACGACTAAGATCCCAGAGGCTAGCACGTTATTGCGAACGACCAGTCACCTTCCAGGCGAATGTGGAATATTTACCGGTGCGCTAGGATCGATTAGACGCCATTCTGGTGAACCGACAACAGCAACGGGGCCCTCTTCGAAGCCTAAGCCATTTCAGCAAAATGACCAATCCTCACATTGCATATGGTATGGCTTCCATTCATGCCCGTACATCAGGTGCCTGGAGTATCTACTGGCGCGATGCGCACAGGCAGACGCGTCAGGGGATACTTCAAGAGTGCTGGTACAGCGGGCCCAAGTCAATCTTGAGCAAGTTGCTCTCAGACAGCCGACTTCATGCAACGCCCCCCCCCCCCCCCCCCCAGTTGAGACGCGATGTTCGCAAGCCGTTCCGCGCTTCCCGTAAGGCTTGGAGTAGGGTGGACATGGTGGCAATGCGATGCGCATCTCCGCCGCGGCGCGACGCGTCTGAGTCACACTCCTCTTCGAAATTAGGTTCTCCTTCAAGCCCTTTATTTTATTTCTGGCCTTTCGCTAAGCGACCTGGTTATGTGCAGGATAACTACATGGACTCTGTAGTCCATCACCGACGCTTGTCACCAGCGCTGTAGTCATCGGCGACGTTCCTGTCTCGGGCTCTGGCTTTCTGAATCCTAGTCAACCCTGACGCTCTCCCCCGCATTCTGGCCTCGGACGGAGGCAACGAGTAACTGGATATTCTAATAACGCGACGACAACCGAATGCCGAGGAACACCACTTGACGTCCCAATGTTGTTGAGCTGTTCTTGGTCCGAATGTTGCTCTCGGAGAAGGATGGCGCACCCCACGAGCTACGGGGCGTCATTCCAGGAGCTGGTTTGCTGCGGGACCTGTCAGTAGCGGCGGCAGAGAAGGCGGGGATCGTTCGTATATACAGGCTCGCATCCCATTGTTTTCCGATACCTTCATACTAGTACTTGTATTGTATTGCAGGCGACAGGGCGCCTGGACTCTCTACGTACCGTCCCGCGCCCGACGCACGCGCACAATGTCGGCTCGAGGGCACAGCGCGAGCGTCATGCCGCCCCCCTCTCCCTGTTTCGCACGGTCGTAAGTCCGGAGGACCCGGAAGACCATCAAGCGCATGACAACCATCCTGGGTGTCCCGTCAAGTAAGGCTTGCCAGCGTCGGGCGTGGGCCGCGACTCGGGACCTGAGTGCGTGTCGGTTTGCGGTTCTCTGGGGGGCGCGACGACGGCTTGGGACCAGGAGAGGCGATATCGTCCCTCCCTGCTTCCCAATGTGTTTGTCGTATCATGGCGGACGTGCAGCCGAGCGACCTGGGTCTCGCGTGGTCTTCTCTCCCGTGTCAGCCCCACGAGTCGAGTCGTCGTTCGCGGACTCTGTCTCTGTGCTTGGCGCGCTGGGCCGCCGATATTGGGGCTATGCGATGCTGTTGCTCGCTCTTTTCCCGGTATGTGCGTGATCGCCCTCCCCGTCAAGGGAGTATGTGCTCCGTGGGTTTCACGGGACAGGAAAGCTGCGAGGTGTGTCGTGGTGCCTTCGGACCGGAACTCGTCGTATGTATGAGCTAGTACGGATCAAGCTTGGCGGGGCACCTTGGTTAGTGTGCTCCTGCACAATCGTCCATCGCTAGCAGCCATTCACCCGTCCTCCGCCTCGTTGTCTTCGTGATCATCAATATCACTTACTTGGACGCGTCGATTGCTCGGCCGTTGTTCTTTCTCGCTACCAGCCCCTCGCTAACTTCTGGATTCAAAGCCTGTTGGAGTCGTGCAGTACGGCGTTTGTAGGCATCCCGAAGGACATCCTAGCCCGCCGCACGCCGGGTCACGCGCGCGCTTTTCGTCCTGGTTGTGGCCATCACAATGATGCGCAGCCGTCTTCACCTGTTGTCTTCGTAGTCATCAGCGCGGAGCAACCAGGTGCATGTACGGCTTGTCAAGGCCCCGGCGGCTCGGGGTCTCCGCCTGTGCGTCCTGCTGCTGACTGACGTATCTCGTAGGTAGTACACGGAGGACGCGATCGTGTAGCCTTCCTGGGATCTGCGATCGGTGCGTGCAGTCGATGCGTTTTGTCCGGAGCGCGCGGATCCCTTGCACCCGTCCGAGGCACCTCACTGCCGTTCTGTCGTGCGTGTAGAGTGTTTCGTGATTACCGACGCAACCCTCAAACGGACTATGTGTGTGTATGCGCGTAGGGCCTTGCGATTGAATTGGATTACTTGCAGTGCGAAGGGAGAAGTGCGAGATGCGAAGACCCGGACGGGAAGGTGCGCCCGCAGGATCACAGTACCCACGAACGCGGGATGGCACGCACCCGCGCGCGGTGTGGCTCCCCGTTACTGGCCCGATAGCACCAACGCTGCTCCGAGGATGCCTGGCCGCGCAAAGGTGCCTTCTTGCCTAAGGCAGAGACGTTCGAGCGAAATTAGAGTTGTGGTAGTCCTCAGGACTCGTCTAGAATACGTTGAAGGCGAACGGAGGATATCGATCAAAGAGCGATGCAGCAGGAATGACGACGCATCCCAAGGACGACTGGGATAGGATGAAGGCTCCACGATCAGAAAAAGGGCGAGACTAGCGTATGTCGATGGAACGAGAAAGAGGTGCGGGATCGATCAGGACGCGAGGCGGGTTGTTTGTGGCGGAAGTGGCGACACAACCCAATCACGTCCAAACTAAGACAAACATGTTGATGTTGAGCCACTCGCGGCTTCACCACCTTGGCGTTCAGCAAGCCATCTGTCCTCAAACGTCCAGCAACTCCTCGAATTCACTTCTAGACTTATCCCCAATATCAAGTATGTCCCACTCTACGTGCATGCCACCTTTGGTCGACTAATCGTTGTTCCCCCCTCCCTAGTACTATGAAGATGAGTGGCTCAAAGACCACCTCTCGCGCTTTGACTAGGAAGGGTAGAGCTGCAGAAAGTAGCTCGTCAGTGAGACGTCGGGGTGCCCGAGTCTTCGGTGAGTTTCCAACCGAAAAGCTTATTAGCCGTGCGTTGGCTGAGTAGACGACGCAGGTGGATCTGTGGCCGCGATATCAAAATTGTCCAAGGAACTATTGCTCAGTGTGTTCAAGTACTACTGCTTGGATACATTACCAGCATCCCAGCCACCAGCTTTCGTGCTTTCTGCAGTGAGTGCCCAGTGGCGATCCCTTGTGGTTGGGACGTCCGAGCTATGGGAGGAGATCAACGTAAACTGCTCCACTCGGGAAAAGCTGTTAATCTTGCAGCTCGATCGGTCCAGGCAGCGTTTCCTTACCATCAGGGTTTATCTGCAACCGCAGTCTGTATACACCGGGAAATGCATCTCCTTGCAGGCCATCCACAGCTGTCTCAAGACGATCGCAGCTGAGGCCCACCGCTGGCGGGAATTTGACCTCTGCTATCACAGCTTCTCTAAATTACATTCCTGTCTGAATCCCCAACTTGTCTTGCGGCCTTTGCACGTCATCAAAGCACCCAAACTCCGTCGGCTCCGAATCGAGGCGGTTGGGCGGGACGACTTTCGTGACGCCTTGAGGATAGATGCCCCCGTATGCCATGATGTTACCCTCCATGGGTCGTTCGGAGTTTTCTTCCACTATGAAATGCCAATCCCCTGGGGAATCACCACACTCTCGCTTGAATACTTCCCTTCATACGCCCCTCTCGAGTTCCGGCTATTTCAGGCCCTTGAGGCTTTGCCACGCCTGACAACCCTCACAATCAAACGGGACATTGTTTGGGCTAAACGATTGCCTTCGCAGCGCCCCATCGTGCTGCCGGACTTGAAGGAATATATTCTGGTTGATATGCCAGAGTTGTTTGACTCGTGGTACGTTGGTGGACTCGAGCCTCTTTTCAGAGATTTGGAACTGCCGAATTTGGAGTCACTTACATTCCGCGAACCCTCCTTGTCCCTTCTGCGAGCATTTGTTGAGGCCATATATCCCTCATGCCACCTCTTCAAATCCTGCAGTTGCCGTGGTGCTGGGTGCCTTGCGATGCCGTCGCTTCTATCACGCCTGGAAGGAAAACCGGTTAGATACCCCCAGCTGTCGGCATTTCATTTGGAAGGCAACTTCCCTTATCCTCGTGACGACCGCATTCGAGGCCATTTCTTTGCGGCATTGTCCCCCGTGGCCGACATTTACGTCGATGCTTCCTGCGTACTGAACTTTGTACGGGCACTCGTTGCGACACTCGAGTTTCGCATCGTCTGGTGGGCTTTTCGCAGCCACCGCCTCATAATCCCCCAATGGTCTCCGGATATCGACAATGACGAGCTCATATCGTGGCTTTCCTCTTCGGTCACCCAACGCCGGTTTCAGGGCTTGCGCACTCGGAGAGCGGAATTCGAGCGCTACTGTTCACCTGAGATACAAATGGAGTTGCGGGAGCTTATAAGGATTAACTTCGAAGAACCCGATTGCTCAGTTGGATAGTCTGGTGGAAGCAGGACACTTAGCAAGCGGCAAGGTGTTTGGTGGCAGGGCGGGCGATTCGGATACATTGAATCGTGATATATGTATTACAATATCTCTCACAAAGGAATGCACCAGTCTGTTAGGGCCAGCACAACAGGAACTGATGCAAAGAAAGCGTGGTGTCGAGACATAGCATGTCCGGTCACGATCATGTTTCTTGACACTGAGCTGCCACTCTCGTTGCGCAAAATCGCTGCTCGCTCGTGCAATTATCAGCTGTTCTCTCTCTGCGGAGGACTCTCACAAGGACCTTTGAATGCAGAGGGTGCTATTTATCCCAATCATCCGTAGTATGCATCACGATGGCGACGCCAAGGTCAGGGTCTAAACGAAAGGAATCAAGTTACTTTCTACCACTCTGAGGTCAATATGTCGACTCACGGAATGCACGCTTTCCGCCCTTCCTAGTCTCGCATATACAAGTGGCAAGGGTGTTTTCACCAGAAGACGTATCAGTGTGTCAAGTACGGTAATGAGCTAGCACAATGCAGAAGAATGAACAATCTGGAGGACAAGAATTCGTGCATGGTCGGACATAAGTATGCGAGGATACGAGACGATGGGTTGCGTACACTGGAATGGAGAGAGAGAGAATATTGCTGAGAATTATTAATTTGAAGAGAAGAATTGAAACCGTGATTACGAGTCATCAGGAGCAGGCACGTAGTTCAAACCCCAGGGTGCGTCCGGAGCCTGAGCACATGGGTACAAGGATCCATCAGCACTAAAAGCAATGCGAGAGCGCTGGCGTTCATGGAGATCATGGAATATTCCATCACGGGATCCTCCAGAAGTCGTGTCACGGACGTCGTCGAGGTAAGAGTGATGTGCATAGTATGACAGTGCGGCGCACACTTGGGTAGATACCGGTCCCCAAGCATCTGGAAGGCATGGCCGAGGACTGTAATGAGCAGAGGATTGGCAATCGCTGCCTTGGCCTGCAAAGGCTTCAGGAACAGTATGAGAGTAGGTCCCAGAGCTCATTATTCTTGCATTCTGCCTGAGCAAATCAGAATCATAGGAGATGTGCCACCAACCAGGGGTTTGCAATGATGGACGAGGGCTTGCTTCCATAGGAGAACCGCTGACGATGGAGAGGTACGATAGACGATCATATCCAGCAAAGGACACACCAGGGCTGCTTTCTCCTGGAAGCGATCCAGAGTCACTGGACGAGTTATACTCCAGGTCAGAAAAGAGACTGTAATCTGACACTGTTATTTCGATGTTCCGCGCCGGCGAGTCGGGACCATGGAAGAGGCCCCATTCATCAGGGCTGTCAAGCGCAGGCATTGGATCCAGGAGGCCGTCGAATCTTACGGATTACGGTTCGTCAGGAAGATACAAGCCAGAATCACGTCCTGATTGATTCTCAGGAATATGCGGCGGGCGCATCATGGGTGATTGATGCCCACTAGGAAAACTAGCTGGGCTCACGACCGGCATCCATATGAGGGCAGGAGTATCAGCAGAAGAAACATGCGCAGCGGGAACCTGCGCCTCAGGGGGCGGAGGAGAATCAGACTCGGAGAGGACGGGTGTGAGGTGACTTAAGCCACTCACGCAGTCGACTGGATTTCGTTACAGTATTGCTGCTTTACGGAGGATACGGAACTTGACTCTTCCAGACGTCGTGAAGAATGCTCCTGGTTAGGCACCCATCACATCTCGCGCCTCTAGTGATTTTAGACTCCTTCCTCGAAGCGAAGGCCTCGGGCTGGGGATTTCCATGTTCGGCGCGCGACATGAGCTATCCCTTCACGGACGAGTTGCATTGGATCGGTAACACCGGCAGCCAACCGGCGGCCTGCCTAGTACTTCCTGTTCTGTAAATCTGGTAGTGTTCATTTCCAGAAACCGGTACCCTTGGCCGCTTATTTACCAGCGCAGGCAAACAGTCGTGATCAGTCATTGACTACTTCAGTTGATTTCCGTCCCCCACTTTCTACCACAGCTGCCGTAGCTGCCAGCGTTATTGCTAGGTACCTCGGTTCAGATGGGCAAGGATGAGCGGAGCCGTGGGCACCCATTCGATCATCAATATGTATTCATGCGCATTAGGGGGTGTATAAGTGTTGAATACAATCATGAGTATGAGCAGCAGATAAAAGACAGTGATGACGCAGAATACATACATGATGGGATAACATGTAAGGAATATAACACAACAAGCAGCATACGTGTAACATAGCGAGAGATACTGAAGAGATGGAGGACGAGCACCAGGAAAAACTTAAGACGTAACTAGTTGACTACTGGTCACCACAATCATAGGAGACGAGCAACTCAGTACAATCTCCAGGCCGCGTCTGGAGTACTACCCGGGAATGAGGACCGATCAGAATCGGAATGAACGGTAGCAGGGGACATCAGATCTCCCTGTTGGCCAGCTGCCTCATCTTCAAAGTAAAACTGACAGGTGTATCGGCCGTAAGATGGTCTAGCGCTCCGTTGCGCAGGACCCGCTCCACCGGCATCAGGGAGGTAAGGCTGCAGTCTGTATTGAACAGGGGATGAGGAGGTGCTGATTTCGCTCTGATATTCTTCAGGAGCATTGTGAAGGTAGTGTTGGACACTGTATGACGGATCAAGGAAGAGGCTGGGGTCCGGCCGCATCATCCCAGTATTCCGCGCTAGCGCGTCAGGGTCATAGAAGGCACCCCAGGGATCGAGGTTCTCCAAGGATAGAACCGTACCTGGCTCGACAGGAGACCCACCTTGGGCATCCGGACGGTAAGAGCGGGGTCCATACTGAACAGAGAATGGGGTATCCTCCTCAGATAGATCATAAAGGTGACTTTGGAAGCTGCCCTGCAGGCCGGACAAGATACTGCGGTCCGGCCCCGTAATTGTGGCATCCTGCCCCAGTGAGTCACAACTATGGAGGTGACCCCTGGTGTTGTCATTCTCGAGTGCAGGCAACGAACCCAAGAGGTTATTGAACCTCGCCGATGGCAAGTCATCAGGCAGATACAGCCCACAATCGTTTTCCAGGTGGTCCTGAGTATCCCCAGGGGATATCACTGGTGTCTGTGGGTCGCTTGGGAGACTTCTTCTATCCATGGACGGTGTCCATACGACAGCGGGAGTGCCTCAG